TTTTTTTGCACACGTGCCATGATCAAAGCCTAAGTTACAGATATATAATTCCAAATCACAGAGGCAAACTCGAGCCTTCAAACCACTGCGGAATTAAAAAGATGTATTAAACAATGGGGCTTTTTAAAATGCTTGGTCATATGCGGTATTTCTCCTAGAACTTTCATTGCAGAGCTGGCAACAAAAGATAGATGATTTTAAAAGTTAATCCGCAGTCAATGAACACAGCGAGATCCCTTACAATTGACACCCATTCACTCGGTTTTCCCTCAAGATGATCAGTGTTATGAATGTTTACACGGCATTTGCACAAAGATATCACTTTAGTTTTTAAAGGATTAAGGAATAACTGATTTTGTTTACACCACTGTGCTATATTAGACAGATCATGTTATATCAAATCAATCTCCAGGGCAATGAATGCCCTTGAACAACTTGATGTCATCAGCAAATAAAAGCAGTTCAACGTTTTTTACACATGATGCTATATCATATATGAAAATTGAAAACAGCAAAATATCTCGATCTACGGGCTCTAAACATCTTAAAAAACCTGAAATTACATTCATGCGCGGCCGATCTGCATATTTCCTTTGTTTCCCTGCAGCGCACAGTACGCTGCAGGAAAGGGCTCTTATAGAAAAGCAGAAAAGGTCTTTAAAGGGGTCATGAAATGAATTTTGGGCGGGATAAATAAATTTAGATTGGAATTTTACTAATAGCATATCGTTTAGTGTACCAAAAGACAGAAGGTAAAAGTCAAAAGCCAAAGTCATAAGTCAAAAGACAGAAGGTAAAAAAGTCAAAAGCCTGATTTTCGGTACGAAAAATTGAAAACAGCAGACTATTTCGTACCTGCTTCCTTTGGAAAGCTCTCTGCCTTTTCACTGTGATACATCCGCGGTACCCAAAGCGTGTCACCCGGCCCAAACAGCCGCCTCCCTTCCATCACCTGACCTCATTCTCTGCGCGAGGGAGCGTGATCATGTGGCAAAAGTGTGGCTGGCCCAAGGAGCACATAGCTTCCACAGCACTATCAGCTTCGGGGTGAACGAGGCGGGGAAAGCAACTTTCGTCCGAGTTTTGAGTGACGTTGCTTGTGTTCTAGGGGGAGAATGGCAATGTCTGGGTACACAAGTGAGGGTCCGAGCAAGAGGGGAGTCCCTCCTTTTTGTCTTCTTGAACTGTTTGGTACAGTGCACGATTTGTAAAGTTGAGGAGGAAAACTAAGAAGGAAAATGTTGACAAATTGTGTCATGACCCCTTTAATGAAAGCATGTTTATGGTGAATAAGTACTGAATAATTCTGTCTGTCAGTGAATTCAGATTTGGAAATCCTTTACTCTGACAACATTTCTCCATCAAAACAAACAAAAAAAGACTAAGAAAGGATGGCAAGACATCAACCCAGAGTTAGGCTTCACTGGTGAAAAAGCCATTAAAATATTGCAACGAAAGAAACATCAGTGATGTGATTTGCTGGAGTCATATTGTCGATTGTGCATGGAGTAGAGAACACTTTTGGGTCACAAGTATACACTTCGTTCTCATCCTTTGCATTGCAATTACTACGTTAACGTTCCTTCTTTAGCTCCAACTGAAACACAATGCCTTTTTTTGCTCTGTATTCTTGCGAAAGCACTCATCAGCATCCACTGAGATCCATGAAGTAAAAAACATGAGCATGTATCAATGGTAGTTGTACCGTAGTTACTAGGTAAATCAGAGGTTAATGATAGTGCACTAACATAATGTTAGTGAAGCATATTTTCTGAGTGCCATATACAATTCTTTTAGAAGGTCAGTAGGTTGTAGTAAAACTGCAATTTATAATAATTTAAATATAAAGCTTTTGTCATTTAATGATGCATAGCAATATCATATTTTGTGTGGATATATTATTTTGATGATAAAACTTAGCAAGCAGGCAAAGATATGCTTTCCTAAATAAATATTAAGCTGAATTCTCTTTTTATTTTTAATTGCCCTCCATTTTCTCAAGCTTTCATTTGTCTGGTCTAATAAACATATTCTGATTTTAATTTAACCTATATTCATTGACTCTGCCCTCACACAGTTAAGGGCCTGTATAGATGTGGTTAATGAATGAGAGATTGGACACAATTAGACCTAGAATAATGACCATAATGCACTTACTCAAGATTTAAAAATGTGAAGAAAAAAATTCAAATGAGGCAAGCAGCTTGTCAGGATAATGCAGCCATTTGGTGTTCTTTTACAATAGCCGCAATTCTATTCTGCAAATTTTACTGCAAGGTAGAATTGCAAAGAAAAGGCATGCCGCCGAGAATGCTTCTCCACTAAGCGCATGGCTGGTTGTGGCAAAGCGGCACCCAAAATCCTGATGCTTATACTGCAGGCATCGCTCCTCTGAGAGCACGGGAAGGAATGCAAGCCGTGAAACAAATGCTCAAAACCAGACCCCATACGATAAAAGTATTGTAGAACATATTGGAAGACTGTCAGTGCTCGATCAATCAGACGAAGAACGATAAAACTTTCCCGACCGTAACGATCCGGAGTTATGGTTTGTTAGAAATTCGTTTGCTTTCGGAAGAGTGGGAACTTCTTAAGGGGGGACATAAGCCTAAGTTTAAAATTTTTTTTGAAAAAATTCATTTTTTAATTTTGAGGTTTTCAGTTTTAGAAACTAATTATACACCCTTACACCAAATTTGATAACCATACGCCAAATAGTTACGTTGATATAAAATATTTTCAACACATTGTGAGGCAGTAACAAAGTAAAGGAGTTCAATCTTTGAATGCATTTTTCTCAGTTCCACTTTTTGCTGCAAATTTCATACGAAGGAATCTTTTGTTCGAAGGTGAAAGTATTCTGACACCACAATCAAGATGTTTCTGAACTGAAATTTACTTAGGAATTGGGTTATCTGCTTTATTTTGTTTTAAGTTGAAGCCCTTAGTGATAAAACACTAATAAGTTTTCAAAAATTGACAGAGGACAGATATGCATCTCATAGTTTGAGGTAATAACTCTTCCTGAAATATTTACTTTTAAGTTATTAAAACTAGTTAGCCCGAGGTCCCATATCCCCCACTTTATATTCAAGCAGTCAAAATGATGCTTATTAGCTTCATTTGCATATCATAGATTTCTTAATGAAAAGTGACACATCATCTTATGCAGGTATGTAAATTTGTCCTAGAGAGCTGAAAGTTTGCACAGTACACCTACATCTGAAGCTAAAGCTCCCCTGCAAATTTCATTCCGATCACTTGAGTAGTTCAAAAGTTTGACCTCTAGCCAGTGTCCCCCCTTAAATAACAAGTTTCTTTGAAATGCCTAAATAAATCATAGCAAATGATAAAATATACAGATGATTGAACCGACTCATCAAAAAGAAATGAAGGTTAGAAATCGGCTGAAAAGCTATATTTGGTGGAGCTGAACTAATTGAGCGACGTGCTTGGAGGAACAGGTATAACAGCGGGGCGAGCGGAAACTTTTCTGAGCAGCTGTCAGTTTAATGATTTGTGATGATGCGACGCCTGTCCATAGTTCTTTGCTGTGAATGCTAGTGATGCCACGAAACTCGGAGACAAGTTAGCAGGGGTAATCAACAAATTTAATTAAGACATTCAAGAGGGTTTCGATTGGTTTAGACCATGCACTTACTGGTCACCGGCACGGGTTACCAGTCTTAATACAATAGTCCACATGAAACGGGCTATCCATATTAGCGCAGCCTCAGCAACTGTTCATACATACCTGTAACTGTTCTGTATGAGCTAATCCAAAACTGCACAAAGTTCCTGTCTTGGTACTTTGCCAGTGCTGCGGTCAGGTCCAAATACTTGGTGAACGGCGCTCCATTTTTTATTCTTGCAGCTTGCATAATTAGATGGTGTAAAACACTCCTGCCTGTACTTAGCCATCGTGCACATAGAGCTATACACGAACCCAGCGGAGAATGGTAATGCGGATGAAACTGAAAGCTGAAAGTGCCAATGAACCTCGTGAGGCGCCAGCGCCGAGAGCAGTGAACGGAGTCAACAGCTCCTGTTTCCAACCTTGTACCCTTGCCCCCCTTGCAACGCTACCCCAGTGCTCTGATTGGCTCGTTAAAGTGGACAACCAAAAAAAAGAGCAATAAACATCTTTATTTGTAAGCGCACGCACGTGAGCGGGCTTCAAAGTTGACGTCATGAACAACAAATAATGTGGAAGCTATTTTGACGGTAGACGTCGCTATAAAAGATATATATTATTTTCATGTATTACGGAAATGACGTTGTAGACATCAAAATACTTCTTGTTTTTATATTGACGTTAAAATAACGTCATAGACATCAAAATCAGATTATTTATTGTTTTGACGGCAGACGGTTAAATAAAAATTGTTACTTTGGACGTTTAATGGAAGCGACGTTGGAGACATTGAAATAGTCACTACCTTGCATAAACACTGCCAGCGGTCTTGGTTTGGCTTGTAACTTCACTCAGCCTAGCGTGGCTTGGCTTGAACTGGTCAGTGGCCTGCACTCCTGTGTAGCGCTTTGCGTTTTTGCCGTATTTGCATCCATGTGCGTTGTACAAACATAAAACGACAAAGAAAGCTTTCAACGTTCTCTATTCCTCCCTTTACATGGTGCAAGAACTAAGAACTGTTTTCCCCCGTTTCTTTTCACACCCAATCTCCTTCATTCAATCGGAGGGATGGCTTTCTCGCAAGTCAAGGCCTCATGGCCGAGTTCGATATCGAATATAGAGCAAAGTGTGTTCTGGAGCTTGTAATTTAGAAAAAAAAACTGGCTTTATATTCGTGCAAATACTCTAGTGTCTAAACTAAAAAAAGTGCTTTACATGAAACGATAGATGGGGAACCCAAGAGGGTACTTGGGGAAGCCCAGTTTGACAACCTCTGTTACATTTTGTAGAGGATGCTTTCTATAGTCTACCAGCAGAGGCAGTACACGTCTTTACTGCTCTTGTACGCTTCAACATCAACTTGCAGACTGTGGGTGACGCCATCTCGGATATGCTGCTCGTTGAGACCGTTCTCCATGCAAAGGGCATCTGTGGCCCAGAGTGGAACTCTTTCTACACTGAGCTCCCAAATCGGCAGCTTAAAGTTCACGTGAGTAACAATGGGAGATCCGTTCGATTGTCATTTTGCCCAAACGGTAGGTCAGTAGTTCTCCTGCACTGACGTTTCAAGGACCCCTTCTGGATCGGCAGAGGGGGGAGGCACAATTACAATCTTTGCGAGGAGGGGGTATTGGGCAGTTACAATGAGAAAGGGTTAAATGAAGAAAACAAAATGTGTGCAAACCAACTTACAGGCTCTGGAATGAAGAATAATCAGCCTTACTTACTTGGTGCACGTGGTTTGGTGTATTTAGCTTTTGGGACAGCCATCATCAATATAATCAATTTTTATTTTTTTATGGCTGAGGGCTTTGGACTTCAAGAAGGCCTTGAGGGACTCCAAAGGGTCCACGGAGCCCCATTGGGGGACCACTGGGGTAGAGGCTCGTTTTAAAGCATGGAATGCTTTCTAACATAACCCACTAATCCCAAGGATTTTTGCAACCGTCCCTGCATTTCCCTGCAAAATTTAGCGGGGATATTGACATCGCTTGACCTTTGCATCAAATCAGCTTCCCCGCAAAATTTAGCAGAGAAATTGATGTCGTGTTCCTTGCTAAATTTAGTGAGAATATTGATACCCCCGATTATGTGACTTTTCTGGGATTGCACGAAATCGTTGTGTAATCCGTGAGTCATATCCGGAAAGAGAATAAGTATGGATACAGTGCTCGACCTTGTGTGAAAGAGACGTGTGGAAGTTTTAAATTATGTCATAGCTAATAATTTGCTGCACTTTAATGAAGCAAAAGCCGTCTAACTAATTAAAACAAAGCCATGGAATTGTGCAGTAAAGGTGCGAGGAACTTTATTCTCACCTGAAAACTTGGAAAGAAATCGGTAATTGCCTGCTGAACTTTCTTGTGTTCGCACATCATCAGCTTCCTTTTGAAGGCCGCAAGTTTTGGAACCATGTCAGCAATGCCGTCATGGATGGAAACAAACTGTTTAATTTTGCCCATACTCTGTACTGCTTCCAAAAATGTCTGTACACGCACGTTGCCATTTGCAATGTTACCCTCTTCATCGGTATTGTCGACACGAAGCAATGTCTTCAGTGATATTGTCCAGCGTCGCCGCGTCGCAGACGGCGAAATCGTCGTTGGCATTCACATAGTCGTTGAAAGTTGATTGTGTCCTTAGAAATTGCGTGCCACGAACTAGCAATGTAGTGCATGGCATCCAACACGGAGAGCTTCTTCTCAGACTCGTCACGTTTCATACCGCCAACCAACGTTGAACCAAGAAGTTTTGGTATCTTTGCTCTTTGCATTTGATGATTCCGGCGTAAAGGGGTTGCAGCTGGCTTGTGAAGTTCAGGGGCAGGAATATTAGCTTGATGTTTCACAAGTATAAAGTTTTTGAAGGATGGCACGACACATTGTTCAAGAACAGCAAGGTCCTTCTGCCGGTGGCCCCGATTTTCGAATCTGGCTACTGTAAAAAGGTGGAAAAAATGGAAGATGTCATCCAAGCCTTCTTTTTGAACATGTAATGGCGAGGCAGCTTTTTCAAATTTTTGAAGCATCGTGGTTTCTCAAAGTTTTCAAGAACAAGCACAGGAATATTTTCTGAGCCATCTTGATTTCTGCAGAAGAGTGCAATCTCATACTTCTTGTTCTTTTTCCACAATGACAACTGTCACCTTTGAAGGTCAGTGTTTGCTCAGGCTGCATGTTGTAGAAAACCCCGGTTTCATTGGCATTGAACATGTTGGAGGTCTTATACAATGCTATAAAGTTGGGTGGAATCGGATCCACTCATCCACAGTTGAGGCATCTACAGAAGCACTTTCCCCAAATGAGCTGCTGTAAAACGATTGGGTTGTGCTTTTTCAAGCAATCCAGTCAACCATTCTTTGCTCAGAATTTGGGCTGTGCGAATATTCGAAACTTCGAATACTTCACGAATAGTGCCCGCTATTCGATTTGATTCGCTTCGCACTTTTACTGTACGAAGTATTCGAGTTCTTCGAATATTCGAAAACTACGAATAACTCAAAACTCGCTGGTAAGTCCCAACTCGCGGTCACGTTCCCAGTTTGTTTTTGGGCTGCGCAGTATAGTTTCGAACTTGGCAAACCCCAAAAGCCAACCTAAGTGCCTTTTTTTTTTTGTTCTTGTTTCTTGTACGAAGCAATGGAAGTGGAAATTCATATGCACGCGGTAGCGCGATCTGACCTTCGCTTGCCGCGATGTCTGGATTGCGGAGTTGGCCGAGTGGTAGTGGCGCAAACATGTACGGAGCCATCGCTGCGATAAATTTGATAAAGAACTACGATTTGCAACGGCACATACATCGTCGTGAGCTCCAACGCCATGGACTACAGCCACTCACTCACGTGCACTCACAACTGAACGACTGAGCCCATAGAGCACCATAGAGACTGGCCCACTGGCCTACAGGGCCAAGGCAGCCAAGGGGCCAAGGTGCTATGAATTTGGATATGGATTTACGGCTTACTTCTACTAAGCCATTGTACTTCTACTTTCGGGGATAATTTGTACAGTGGTTACCGTCGTTGCCATGATGGATCAAGCCACTCGAGTTATTTTCCGCTTGATTTTCTGATTAATGAGTTTTCCAGTATTCATTTTATTTCTACCCGTTTTCACTGGTCAAAGTGAGACTTGCTCCCTTAGCCGAAAAATAGCCGTATTGCTTCTTTAGCTTTATAGCTTCTTTGTGGCGCCCTCTCTCGGCACAACTATTGCACACGAAAATATATTGTGCAAGGTTAGTTCTGCAGGAGGCTGTGGTGGCCGCGTGGCGCACGTTTTCATTCCTCGTGTCGTGTGCCATGCTTTACGTTCACGTGGTTGCGCTCGTTGACGTGGTTGCGCTCGTCTGTGTCTGCTGGTGCTTGAGCTTGATGGAGCCACGACAGGAAACGTCAGGGACTCAACAACCACGGCGGAGTACACAACCTCTTGCCAGCACAAGAAGTCTCGCATGGACCCATTTCCGTAAAGTTTGCCAGGGGGAAGCTGGGGGGGTGTGCAACCTTTGCGAAAGCTCGCTGCGAACCCCATCAGGCACAACCACTACTCTCGTGAACCATTTGAAACGGCACGCCAATCAGTATGCGGAGTTTCAAGCAGCTGCTAAAGTCAAGCCTGCTAATCAGCCAAGCATTGCTGATGTGTTGAGAAAAACGGCACTGCCGCAAGCGAAACGGGAGGCTTTGGACCTGAAGATTGCCAAGATGGTTGCGCTCGACCTGCAACCGTACACGATTGTGCAAGACCGGGGATTCTGGGATTTATTGAAGGATGCAGTCCCAGGTTACCTGCCACCATAGAGAACAACGCTGTCGTGCACGTTAGTGCCGAAGTTGTACGACGACACTAGAAAGAAGGTTCGACTTGAGCTACAGAATGCGTTCGAGAGTGGCATGGAGTCTCTCTCCTTCACCTCTGACATGTGGACGTCCAGAGCGAACGAAAGCTACATCAGCCTGACCTGCCACTTCCTGGACTCACAGTTCAAGCTCACTCGCTACAACTTGAGCACCTGTCACTTCCCAGGCAAGCACATATCAGCTAGAATTGCCTCAATTCTTGATAAGCTTGTCACAGACTGGGACATTCCCAAGGACGTTTGTCCTTTTTACGTGGTGACTGACAACGCTCGCAACATCAGAGCAGCCACTCATGCACTTCCTTGGTGTGAAAGAACTTGTTTTGCTCATACCTTACAACTAGTCATCAGCGACGTGAAAGAGATGACTCCAGGACTTTCTGTGCTTTGTAAAAAAGCAAGAGGCATTGTTGGGCACTATAAACATAGCCCAAAAGCTCAGAAAAGGCTCAACTGCTACCAAAAGAAAATAGGCAGATCCCCCCTGCATGTTGTTCAGGACATTGAAACAAGGTGGAATAGTGAATGTGCAATGCTGTCCAGGCTTTTAGAGTTAAGAGAAGCAGTAACTGTTGACCTTGCATCTGAAGCGGGGTCAATTGAAGGCTTTACCGGAACAGAGTGGAAGGAAATGAGTGATTACATTGCTACTCTGAAGCCGCTAGAAGAAGCAACGACCAATGCTGGAGCTGACAGCTACCCAACCTTGTCAGCCCAAATACCCATCTTGTATTGCATCCTTGCATGCCTGAACAGCTCCATCAGCCAGCAGACCATAACTTCCTCGTTCTTGTCTGAGCTGGCCAAGTGCCTCAAGACAAGATTTCCTGACTACAAATTTGACTACCGTAATATCCCGAGTCAACGCCCCCCCCCCCCCCCCCCCCCCCCCCCCCCACCGCCTGAAATTCTCAAAAATCGTGGGGTGGGCCATGACTCGGGTACCGAGCTCAAAAAGTTTCGAAAAAGTTTAAAAATGTGATTTTTTTTGTCTGTGTATAGCGACTAGACAGGAGATTAACTGAACTCAAATCTCGGGTTGGTATCTTACTTGCAACTCATTTTACTCAAAATCCACTGCTTCGCGGGTAGCTCGTTTCCGCCTCCTCCGAGCAAGCGCAATTCGAAGCCATGACTGCTGCAGCCTTCGGTCCAACATGAACGGAAAAAAAAAGAAGAGAATCATCGAAAAAATAAAAGAAAAAGAAAAGAAAAATCGCAAGGAGCCACAGTGACCGAGCAAAGGTGACGAAAGCCGAAAGGAAAGCGGGTCTCCGCTTCCTTTTCGACTTCGGAATCAAGCAAACCGGCAGCCTTTAACCGACGCCTAAAACGAACCCAGCACAAAAGCAAAAATAAGATGACAAAAGCGAAAGCCATAAAAAGGCTTTCTCCGCGGGCGCGACCGTTGCCACGGAAAGCGCGTGCACGCACAAACTCAATGACCTTCGAGTTTGTGCGTGCGCGCGTGCGGCTTCGGGACAACTTTCTGTGGCAGTACAACCGGGGCTGCGGGCGGCCAAGGCCAATCGGGCACCGACGCGGAGCGCAGCCATTGGTTGTTCTCAGAACGCAGCCACCGGTTACGCTCTGCGCCGGCGCCCGATTGGTTTGTGGGGCGGGTGATGCTTTGGGAAAGGAAAATGATGCTTTGTTTCCAGGCTTATACTGCCGGTAGGTCAGCGCCGTGTTGGGGGAAGGGGAGTGGGAGAAAAGAGCTCGAAAGAGGCTTCGATCGCCTACAGCTCTGACAGCGTTTCAACGCTCAACAATAACAACGGTGTTTTCTTTTACAGATAGCGCGGCTTGCGTAAGGTGACGCGTAGAGCGGCTGGCTGCGTTGTGGACGGTGCGTCTGGCATGCCGCCCGAGATAAACGAAGCGTGAAAAAATAGGAAGAAAACGTTTGCGCTGGGTGTACGAGCAAATCTCTATTTACTCGTCGAAACCGTCAAATGACGCATCACTGTCGGACGTCTGTCGGTCGCGACGTTCTCAAAGAATGCCAAGTCGGCCGGAGTAGATTTTGGACAAAGAAAATCGAATCCAAACGAGGCTTTTTGTTCTGAACCACTTGTATTCGCTGTATTGAGTTAGTCATCCGATCCGCGTCCTATTTAAGTTGCGGTTTCGCGGCCTGACTTATCTTTTCGGTGAAAACGGACTTTCAGTTATGAACAGAAAAAAGTGAAAGCCGTTTACAACTCCCTGTAACACCGAATTAGAGCGCAGCTCTTGAGGAGGAGGAGGGAAGGGTACTGGGGGGTGAAGTGACCGGGGGGGGGGGGGGGGGGGGGGGTCGCGTGACCTTGGGGGGTCACGTGACGATGCCGATGATGTCATCAGTGACGTCACTGATGACGTCATCAGTGACGATGACGATGCGGACTCCGATGACGTCATCAGCGATGATGACGATGACGATGCGGATGTCGGTGACGTCATCAGTGACGTCACTGATGACGTCATGTGTGATGATGACG